GCAGATGGAGACCCAAGTCTGGGAGCTATCAGAGCTGCAGACATAGGCATGGAGTTCCCCTCCTGGGAGGTCCATGGTTGAACCATGGCAGTGTAAGGGTCCTCCATGGGAGCTCAAACAGAGTCAGAACAACAGAGAAGGCTGAAGAATTAGTTTGAGACAGGTTCAAATTCAGAGAGAAGAAAGTTGAATTGGAACAAAGAATGGAGAAAAGACATAACCCAAGAATTAAGTGGAGAAAGAGGACGATGCAATGTCTTCGATGCTGACTGACTCAGAGGTTAAAGAGAATGACAGCAAAGGTCACCACTGGCCTTGGGAAGAATAGCTTCAGGAAAATAACAAGGTGAAAGCTGAATTGCAATGGCTTAAAGAGTAATAGTGGAAAGAGCAAGTACAATGTTTAACAATATAAAAACAACAACAACAACAACAAAAACCAAACAGCAATTGAAAGGAAAAGAGAGGGGAAATTTTAGTCTTAAAGAATCATCCCTGGTACAGAAGGTAAGTACTGTGGGGCCCCATATTTGGCCTCAATGGACTGTGGAGGTAGTACATGGTCTGGCTCTTTAAATTTGACTTCTACTTTTCTGTTTAGCAGGTGACATGCACATCTTTTAATAAAGAACCCTCACACCCTGGCTGCTGTGGCTGTTGGTTGGAGCATCGTCCCACTCACCCAAGGGTCCTGGGTTCAATTCCCTGTGTGGTGTGTGCAGGAGCAGAAACCAATCAATGTTTCTCTTCTCTCCCTCTCCCTCTCAAACAATAAACAGATAAAGTACAATAAAAATTAAAAGTAAACATGCTGGATTAAAGACCAAGGAAAACAAATCCAAATGCCCACAAAAATAAAAGTAGTGAATCTTTACAAATGTATTGTGTGATTAGATTACTGATTTTTCTTTGCAAATTGTGTCCTAGCCTTACCACTACATCCTTCAGCAACAAAAACTGCACAGGAAATGAAAAGTTCAATCTACATATTTTTTTAAAGTAACAATTCAATTCTAAGGAGACACAGGCGGGCACTTGACAATGCCTTTAAGCAGGGGTGGGGAACCTTTTCTCTGCCAAGGGCTATTTGGATATTTATAACATTATTTGGGGGACATCCAAAATTATCAACTTAAAATTAGCCTGCTATATTTGGTCAAACATTTAATTAATTCACCCCTAATGCCTTGGCAGGGCCAGACCAAATGATTACGTGGGGCGGATGTTTCCCGCCCCTGCCTTAAAGGAAAAGTTTGGTTATACAGCATGAGATTGTTCTTATACTTGTGAAGCTATGAAAATGGAGAGAAGGGGTTTCTGATTAAATGAAATAGAAATTGCTTTGTAAAACCTCCACCGTAGCATTTAACAATTTCAAATCCAACTTCTGGTTGGATTTCAAGGTTGGATACACAGCAAAGTCACCTTAGATAGCGTTTAATTGATCCACAGCTGTTACAAATATTAATCATTGTCAGTCTAACCATAGAGAACCATAAATATATTTCCCTAGAGTTCTTGATAAAATATAAGATATAAGGAAAAATTTACCCTATTTAAATAACAAAGTGGGGAGAAATACCGACCCTGGTTTAGAACCTTCCATCAATATTCAGGCAAAGGAAAGTATACCAAATACAAGGATACTTCACAGCAAGATTTATTAATACATCCAAAAGAAAGAAAGAAAAATCATTTTGTCACACTATATACAGATAATACATACAATGTTTTATACACATATTACATCAGTTTTTACACAAGAAAAATATACATAAAAATGTAAACTTTTGTATACAAAAACCCTTAAACAAATTAAACAAGGACCAGATAACAAAAGGAGACCAATCCATTATTATTTCATCAAATTTTTAAAACAGTAATACAGTACATTCATTGAGAGATATATGGAAAATGTGAGCCATCTCTTCTTGTTTAAAGGGAAATTACAAACCAAAAGCCCATCCCCTCCCAAAGTGTGGTCTCCCCCAGTAACATCACACCCAATGCCTTTCCTTCAGAACTGGGGGGCTCGCACCAAACCTGCCCATCTCCTCATCTCGCTCTACAGTCTGTGCAGAACCCCGTGGCTCCTAGCTTTTGTGCATATAACTAAGCTTCCAGCCACTATTATCACAAATGCAGAGAAGATTCTCAGTTTGTAAGTTCCCTTTAAGCAACTTTCCTTTTTGTAAATATTTTTAATGTATGGACTATTAAACATACTTGTGTGCCAAGGTGACTGAGAACACTGAAAAACATAGGCTTCAAGGATCGCTAGTCCTTGCTACCGTGCAGTTACATTAAGAGATTTTAAAACTGTGCAACTTGTCATTTATTGGTTTCAAACAAGCCACCTCACCTTTGATTTCCCACTGCAACTTGGTTTCAACTTACACTTTCAGTACTCTAGTTAGTACCATGCAATTGCCAAGAGGCTTTTTGTTAAAGGCTGCTTCTGATATCAAGTTCCAGCTAAGCTGCTCTGAAGTCACTCGCCCCCAACCTCTCTATTTTAGTTCTCAGGGGTACTCTTACTCCACTGTTTTTTGTAACATCTTACATTTAGATTGTCCGCCTACATTCCTCTCTGTAACACCTTAAAACCTAATCAGCTGCCAACTCATCACAAAATAAAATATTTAACAGTTCTTCTTAATATCATTTCATTAGGTGTGTCAAATTGATATGCTAATGAAAAATACTTGAAGCTGTGGGGAATAAGAATTAAATCTATGTCAAGTGCATGCAAACTTGGAGTTCTTTTTTTTTTGGGGGGGGGGGGGTAAAGGGAAGACCTTTAACTAAATAAATGCAAAACATGCTTAAGACAGCTTCATGAGAGTGCCGCCTTCCCTCACAGTTGACTTTTGAACAAGGCAGAATAACAATTAGGTGATATAGTTCCCTGCAGCAAGAGTAGTTAACTTCCCCCAGGCAAAATGATCTGAATGATCATTATTTATTAATGAAAGGAAGAGGCAAATTGGTGAATTAAGTTGATCTAGGAGATGGTGGATGACATACACTAATGGAAATATTAGGACTGCTTTATAACTGAAATAAACAGGCTGGTTTGTGGTACATAAGAGAGAGGAAAAACACACACGGTCCCTCAAGTGAATTTCCAGCTCTCCTCCTGTGAGACAGATGGCATTTTAAAAATGACAGCCTCCCTTTCGATTAAAAAATAAAATAAAAAAAGGAAAAGGAAGATAAATAAATAATGTGTGGATATCTTTAGATGAGAATTTTAAATGTTCTTTAAATAATTTTTGATAATGTATTTTAAATCATTACATACAACTGCCATTGCAGTGACAATATTCCAGTAGGGGCAGCATTTTGCTAAATGTAAAAGATTGCCATTTAAAACTCATACATATACATGTGTATATACAGTATATCAACACTATTTATATACATATATATCTAGAGAGCAACATTTCATTGCCTTGGAATATCTATATATCCACTCCCACAATATACACTAAAGACATACTGTGTGAGTATATAGGAAAGTATATGTACACATGCTCCAACATGTATAAATATACTTTTGTCTGTGTGTGCATAAGAGCTTGAAAGGCACAATATATAGGGATGCAAGTTTTCTAGAGAGCTGCAGCAAAATTAAAACAATGACACCGATGTGAGAAAAGTCAAAAGGAAATATAGCAGAATGCATTCCACAAGAATTCATCAAAGCAGTTTCATCATGAGTAAAATGAGTTGGTTATAGAATTCAAGAGGCTAACATGTGAGTCTGTGCGCTTTCCATTAAAATTAAAATGGTAAATTTTTTATCAAAGTCAAATTAAATTTTAAATGACAATAAAGGAGGAAATGAACCTAGCACTAATATCAATCATAAAATCAAATTCTTTTTTCAATTTAAGTAAAATGTTCCAAAATTATCTAGGTAAAATTTTTCAGTTTTGTTTGAATGCTGATTTTTGTCTGTGTGTTTCTGAAACAAAGATGAACACCTGATTCTCAAAATTACTATAGAAAATATTACCAAAACTTGTACCTTCTGGGAAATTTCAGAGATAAAAATCTTTAAAAGAAACAACCAAGACGTTAATGTAATACATTTAAGACAATGCTTCTGAAAGGACACTAAAGGAGGAAAAGCACAATGAAGTGTTGTAAATGTTGAAAGATGGACTTAGAAGGTAGAGATGAAGAACAGTGGAACTGGTAAGAATGGTTCTAACAGAAGTTCAGTTATAATCACCATAAACGAGACTATAATCCAAAGGACTTCCTCCGTCTTAGTCTGCTCTGATGATGGACTCGACTGTCACCTCCTCCCGCTTACAGCAGAATCCAGAATTTTCCATAGATGTATAATCTTGCTTAACAAAGGCTGTTTCTCTATTATACACACACATTTTTAGGGAAACATATGTATATAGCTTTATCTATACACACACATATACATACGTGTATATATAGATTTATACAAATGTATAAATAAACATAATACTTCTCAATCTTTCCATTGACAAGGCAAGTTCACATTCAGCAAAGTGCCGCCACATTCCATATACACATCTCTATACAGATATACACAAAGGGTCGATTTTCACCCTTCAATTAGGGGGACTTTAGGGAATCCCATTAATCAGTAACTGAAGGGAGAAATGGCACCAATACAAACTCCCTTCTTTCAGTTGCATGCATATGTACAAGAAATATGCAGGTTTCTTTAAATCCATAAAACAAGAGTGAATGGAACTGGGAGATGCTGCAAAAATACCACTGTAAAAAGAACATATAAAGCTTTCGGTCTTGACTATATATAAGATGAACGAGGCTTCAAAGAGAACTACAAATTCAGGTGTACTTTCAGAAGCTGTTTTGACATATTTCAAAGTACATGACTTTTTAATATTAAAAATAAATGTGGCTGGAGCATTTAATAACAACTCTAGTTTTGACTACTTTAGACCACCAGATAATCCAGTAATGAATGTATAACAGCAAAATGGCAAACCTCAAAATATAGGAATGTTTAATTCCATATGGATCAAGTCAAGGGTAGCATATTTTCCCTATAGCCAAAATATAGGTGGAGGAGGGCAGGCTAACTTCATAAATAATAGCACAAGGTAAGTAATTTTTTTCTTCATTTTTGAAAATAACTGAAATCATCTGTTTTGAAATATACACGGTGAAATGATCCCACCAATTCATTAAACAAAGCAGCCCCTTGAAAAATTGGCATTTTTTTTTATCAAAGGCCTATAATTTTCTTAATTTCACCAAGAAAAGATGATCAACAATATTTTCTAACTCAGAATATAAAGAAATCGTAAAAAAAAAAAAAAAAAGAAGAAGAAGAAGAAGGCTCAATTGATCTCTGGTCCCAGCACCCCAACAGATAAACACAGCCCTGTCGTCTCTCTCCTATCTTTATGCTCAGAAGCCAGAGGCTGGTCTTAGAACCTGCTGTTTCTCATGTCACTTTAAAAACATAGCATAATATAAGTGAAAACATTAGAATAAAATGCACATGATATCAGAGTTAGCCTTTTAACATAACATGATGAACAATTTGGTGTATTTATACAACAGAGACACTGAGAAAGCAATTCCAATACCCTCAACTAAATGAATCATATTTCTATAATACATTATTACCTTTCTCTATTTTTACTGAAGCTCACACTCATCTCTCTCACACGTGCCCCCAATGGATATTTTTGCATGTGTGTAAAAACAGACATATACATGCACACAAGTAATTTAATTCTATTTTAAAGTCACAGTGGGAATTCCTTAGTGAGGAGGGATAAAAAGGTTCCTGAATAAGACACTGAGAACATCTAGATTTATTTTCTCTATTTTACTTCCCAACTTACAAAATCAACTGTAAATTAAAGAATAAATCCATAGGAAATAAAGGAGGTCTTAAAAACTTCGTTTACAAATTCCAGCTACAGTAGTTGGGAATTTTACTTGATCTATGTATTTCTATTTACCCTGTAACTAAGCTTCTAGCCATCTTAAGTGTAAACCACAGATCACTGACTGAAGAAACATGATTCTCAACAGTTCTATGAGCGTAATTAATGGTCTAAAGGTGTTCTACATTTTGAGGCCCCAGGATATCCTTTTATTTTATATATCTGCAAGGTAGCAAAGGACAGCTATACACCTTGACACAGCGGAGATCCAGTGTAAAAAGGTGCTTCACTAGTTTGTTTTGTGAAAAAAAAAAAAAAAAAAGAAAAAAAAGCTCTTATATAATTTTTTAGCTATTAAACACATAGGCAACATAACTCATTACACTCAATACAGCTTTAGTATAAAACTTATAATTTATGAGGTGATGTTAATAGCATAAATTAATATACCTTTTCTCTTAAAATCTACAATAAGTATTCTGAAAGCTCATCGGGGAAGGAGATTTTTAAATAAAAGTTTTAAAGCTGTGCATGATGGGAAAAGATTCTGTATGCTGAAGCTGAGATGAGAGGCTGAAGGAGAAAGGAAAAGTCCTATGCAAGACACTGTGGGCTATGAAACCAAATGTTTTCTCTTTCTTGCACTCTCTTCAATGATGAGTCACCTTTAGTTTTTTGAAAACTATTTTCTTATTTTAAAATCTGCCCTAATTTCCACAAGGAATCCCTGAGACATACTCAACACTGTACAGTGAAAAAGAACTATCACTGTTGAGAGGAACTGATTCAACCCTTGCAAGCAGATGAAGACAACGCCTATCACTTCCACACTCATCTGCTGGAGCCTGTGGGACCTTAAGGAGGTGAAGTCATTTCAGGGCCAATCAGTCTATCCCCAACTAAAAGCAATGGTGTGGCATTTCGCTGCACTGGAGCCTTCTGCACTGCATGTTGAAAAATTTTCCAAGGGGAACTTTGGGTGCATACAGAGCTTACGTCAGTGGTCCCCAGCTTAAAAAAATAAACAAACAAAAACAAAACAAGTGAAAGATGAGGGTCCTATTACTCTTAGGCCAGGATCAGGATCAGTACAGACGGTGTGTGTATGCGTGTGTGTGTGTGTGTGTGTGTGTGTGTGTGTGTGTGTGTACACTGCAGGACTGGGGTGGGCTGAGCAAGCAGGCAGAAAGGGAAAGGAAGGAAGGCTGTGCTGTGCTGCCCTACAGAGCTCACTAAGGGTTAGACAGGTTTTCTCTTACAAAACTAAACTTCAGGTCACCAAAAACTCTGCCATTGAAAGGAGCCAAACATTCCCAGGATCCAGGGATGTAGGTAAAGAAAGTCATGCCAAAGTGGCTCTCCCGCTCTGACTCCACATTCCCTTTGATTAGCTCTGTGCCCCAGTGCAGAGAGGAAAGCTAACAAACAGTAAGAGCTGGAGTGAAAGGAGAATTTTTGCCATTTGGAAATAAGGCTCTAAATCTGACCACAATCTTAGCATTAATGATACTGGTTATTAGGAGAGATGTAGTCATTCATTTATATTTTATGTTTTCTTTCCCAACTCGCTGGTCAGGGGAAAATGAATATGTTCTTCACTGGTATTTTATTATGAATCTTTTGAATGACAGTGTTTAAAATGTCAATCTCCTGAACATGGATTCAGGATCCCTCCCGAATATACGGGGAAACCTGTAAAGTTCAAGATATTAGGAAGTCATTAAATTGTTTTACCTTTCTGTAGAATGCCAGTGAAGATTCAATTCTTTTCAATGTATTGAGAGAGTGAAAAAAATCTATGTTCTATCATATATATATTCCCACCCCCCACCCCAAGAAACATATATTTTTGTCAGGAAAAAATCCTTGGCACGACGTAGGCGTTGGTGATGAAAGAGATACAAATGAAGACTGTTTGGGAGGACTTACATTTTCTTTCTGAAATTCTCAAAAGGGAGTTCTGTTGACCATTTAGAAGACCATTAAACATTAAATTACTCTATATATGCCAGGTTAAAAATAGAATTTAATTGAATGTTAAAAGAAATTTAAAAAGAAAGAGGATGAAGAAAATGCAAACTAGACACCTAAAAGTTTTTGAATGAATTTCAAACCTATTAAATAGTTTAGTGTTATTAATAGCATCATCTTTTTACAATACTAATCCACAACCTTTTGAACTAGCCTGGAGTAAGGGTGATGCCTCACACAGACGTTGCTGATGAAGCTATCAACCATCACCACCCACAATGCACCGCACAGGAGGGACTGCAGGCAAGTGGGCGAACTGACCGCATGGGACCCCCTGCGCATGCTCAAGCTCTAGTGCCAATTTGTGAAAACTGAAAGGAACCGGTCAACAGAAATATAAATTCTTTCACATAAGCAGAGAATTGTACCGATAGGGTATCTGTGTGTATCACAGATAACCTTTCTTTCCAAATCAAAGAACTATCTTTGCTTCTCTGAGCTGTGATCACGGATTGAGAACGCTAAGAAAATACTTTAGTGTTAGTCACAGAAAAATGGGATTTCTAACTTGCAATTGAGAGATTGGGCTTATTTAAGAAATGATTCTTGAATAATTATGTGGCAAAGATAAAGCATTAGCTTTCTTTAGCCTGAAGCCACTCAAGATGTAACTACAATTTGAAGGGCGGAATTCCAACTTTACTTCCATACTTGCTATTTGCTTCTCATTAAATTACAGTTTTCTCGTGGAGGGACACGGGACTCACCACACTGCCCACCAGCATGACATTGCTCAGGAAGTCATTTGCAAAGAGTCATCTCTCACATGGCAGGTTACCAGAGAAAATAATCCTCCACAGTATAAGCTATGTGACGAGAATTAGAAAACTTTTTCATTGCATAGTCCGTCACTTGGTGGGTCAAGTGTAATTGCTATTAACTATTATGAATTGTTTACTAGATATATAACCTACCCAGCTGTGCAAATTGCTAAGTATTTTTAATAGAGAGAAAAATCAATGTCTTAAGCACTTTAATTAAAATAATATTAACAATTATGTAGAGAGAGTAAAGGAGAGAAAACACATCATTTCTTCGGACACTAGATCACAGCCAATGAGTATCCATTAGAATGGAATCCTGGTTTTCAGAAGACAGAATGTATCCATTAACTGCAGCAACTTTGTAAATAAAATCACATTAACACAATCTAACTGGCCTTTATAAATGGTCCCGAAGAACTGCAGAAACAGAGTGAACTGAAGCCACTCCTTCTCGAGTTTAACACCAGAATAAAAGCTAGCTTCCACCTAATTAGGACCTTAAATAAAATTTGTTTTTGATTCCAGTATTGCCTTATTATATATAGCATAAGTGCTACTTCAAAAGACACTAATTTTCATATTTCTGGAGTAAAAGACACTTCATTCCTTTCTTTACATATTAATAGCAAGCCTACTACTAATAGACTAGAATTGCTCCATTAGCTACCAGAAAAACATAACGGATATCTCTGGGTTCACAGATGTTCTTCTCTCTTCCAAAAGGGGACTCAAGAAACAGCAAGAGCAAAGCAAATCACAAGCTCGGGTATTTGTTTTGAAGTAGATGAAATGAGAGGAAAAATTTGTTTGTTTTTTACTAATTCCTCACGCCCACACTGGGTACTTTCTACGTGCCCTTTCTTCAGCTATCACCGTGGGCATCTAAACAAAAATGAATTTTCTCCAAGTTTTTGGTGTGAAGCTGTAACTGGCAACATTCCTGATCATTTCCTGCCTCCTTCTAGGAAGCAGAAAAGGACTTTTAAATGCACATAAAACAGAAAATTGCAAACAATAAAATGTGCAACTTACTGCAAACTCAGTTTTGATAACTGAAGAATTTTAAGCAGCTACCACGAGGGACAAATAGCCAGAAAAGTTCCAATGGACTCCCCATGACTTTTCCTTTGCTGTCAGAGAAGAGCCGATAAGAACGCAAGCTGCTCCCTGCAACCTCTCATTAGCACACAATGCAGACTAAGCCCAATCGCTGGGAAGGGACAGTTATTGTAATGGGGTGTGAAAAGAGTTCAGCAAACTAAATGACACTTTTGAGTAGAGGTAACTACTCATAATCATTTCATTACAGTACATGAACATAAAAAAGTTTACTCACATAGGTCCACAGGTGAGACATCGTCAAAGATCTGTTCTCACCATTCAGAATAGAAATTTATGGTGATACCGAATATAACTTTGCTTTGTGACATAATTTATAATTTAGAAATTTCTCAATCTGCAAAAAAGGCAAAGCTATTAAAAATAAATCTTCTAATCAATTATCATGATTTTAAAAAGAAACTAAATATATTACAAATGTATTTTTGGCCCATAAAAAGAAACTTCAATAAATATAAAATAGGGCATATAATGATTTCTTACAGTCATGTGACTTCCCCTCCGTAATCTCAGTCACATGGCACCTGCATAATGCCTGCTGATCACCATCATTCCTTTAAAAGGCAGAGAAAGAAAAGCTTTCAAAAGAAGGGACTGGTTACAAGTAGCATGGCATAAAGAGAATACATATTGGAAGTAGGAAAATACATCCCAATCTTTACCTATTGAAAAGAAATTATGATCAAATATTCCCTGACAAATGAAGCATTATATCACATCATCATTAATAGATATGCTCTCTCTACTCATCTTTTAAAATATATATATGTTAAATTAGACTAGACTCAGGTATAAATAGCCAATGGTACCTCAGGGGACAGTAAAACGTCTCAGCAAAAGCAGAGGACAGATGCCTTTAAAACCTAGTTCCACCCTTGGGGGGAGGGGCGAGGGCAGGGGAGAAGGCAGGTAAAAAGAAAACTCACATAGTCGTTTCATAGTCACCAATTTACTAACCTACCCAATATGATTTTTAAGTGTAAAATCCTGGTACTTGCAGACAACTTCCCAAAACTTAAACCTAAGCACTTAAATTATTTTAAAAGTACCAAAGAGTGGATAAAATTTATTTTTACGTCTCATTTCCATAATCTGCTTTGAAACTTTAAAATGTGTATCCTTCAGATATTACATATCACTTCACCACTGGTACACTGATTCTACAAGTGTCTTCAACATTTTACAAACCTTACCAAAGAATCACTACTGTAAACATGAAAAATTCAAAAGCAAAAGACGGACCAAGAAGTTTACAGATGCCATCTTCCCACATCTACCTGACCTACCCCGCTTTCCACATCGAAATATCTCCTTTAATTACATCTCGCGAATGCATCGGGGCAGAGGGACCTAGGAACAAATGCATGTCCAACACGGCGACATGACCAGCAGACAGTCTCTCAGCAACCCTGCAGCATCAGGCGAGCGCCTCACCACTTCCCACAGCACCGATGGGAATTCAGCTTTGGGTTTCGGGCTAACTTAGCAGAAAGGGTTGTGCCATTCACGTGACCAGACCACCACCCTCTCTATTGAGGGAACTTCGTTAACTCAGTGGGAGAGAATGACCAACATGAGTAGGGGTGTGAGGTGTGGGGAAGAAGTCAGAGTCTTATATGCTCATTAGGAACAAAAGAGAATAACAATAGGACAGCTGCTCCGGCCCTGCACAGAAACACACGTGTGGACACACACATACACACAGGCAGTCCAAAGACTACTCTTTTTCTTTTTAATTAAATGTGATCACGATTAGGAATGGAATCCTGGCCTCACTGGTTTTTAGCAGTTGCTGCTAAGTCAGAGTCTTGATCGGCCTCCACACACCATTTGCTATGTCTTACACACAGGGACTCGATGAATGGGACCATTCTATCTAGAACCACCTATGTAAGACCTGGTAATAAAATGGAAAGCATTGATCTGAATACTAGGAAATAGTAAAGGGCACTGGTAATCTGAGGTATCTTCCACTTCTAGGACTTGCTGCTGAGTCAATTCTATCCAGTCACTGTGCTGAGCCACTAAGGGAACCACGGGGGGAGTGAACCTGCCAGGAGGGAATGAGCACCAGTGCGAAGGAGCACGCGTGAACACTGCAGCACGGTCCACCGCAGGGGAACTTGTCTAACCGGAAAAGGGAGTTCCCCCCAGCCCCCATCTGTTATTTTTAAAATCTTCTTTAGGAAAAGGGGAAGGGGTGATAAAAGAGGAAACAAAGATAGAAAACACCAGGCTCCCCACCTGCCTGCAGACACACAGACACGCTCAGTTAGGGGAGGTAAAAGGAGAAGATGCATTATTGGTACTTGTAGCTGTGGCACCTGTTACTGTGAAGCCTGTAGGAGGCGCTATAGAGCTGTGGCTGGGCTGCAGGTCCTTGGGAATGCCACTGTGAGAACTCAGCTGGTGGCCGAAGGCTGCGCTGAACTGAGGGAGCTGCTGCTTGGGAGAGGTGGAGGCCATTAGCTCAGCGGAGGGCCCCATGCCACTGAAGCTGGTCTGCGGCAACCCCGGAAGCACGCTGGAGCTGCTGGGGGTCGCGGTGGCGAAGGCAGGCTGTGTGGTCTCTGAGTTCGAAGTGGTGGGTGGCGTGGACAGGGAAGTGGAAAGAAGATGTCCATCTGCGTCGAGAAGGTTGCTAAATGGAGAGTGATCCCCAAGGTTGACAGGGAGATTGCCCCAGTGAGTTCTGGGGTTCACGACTCCTCCAAGTGGCACCTCAAGTTGGGTTGGGAGCAAGTGCTGTGCCATGATGGGCATCTCTGCTGAAAAGGTAGCTGCCATATTATCACCAGAGAAAGATGTTGTGTGGGGAGAGGTGATATGGTCACTGTAGGGAGACGGCACGTGCTCACTGTCATAATGGCTTCCGTGGGGCGAGGAGTGTGAATGATCACTGCTGTATTGCTGTCGTGAGGTGATTAGGTCATCTGCCTTGCTCAGCAGCTGGGCAGGGTGTGGCCTCTGGGAGGCATGGCTGCCATCGTGAAGTCCATGAAACTGTCCTGGGAAGGCTCTCTCCCCAAGTGCACTCTGGCTGATCAGAGTGGCAGAAGTAAGGCCAACGCTGGCTGGGGCAGAGAACTGCCCCTGGATCTGCCCTGCCAGGGGTGTAGGTGGGTTAGACAAGGCAGCAGAGCGGAGCAGGTTCTCATCCAGCTCTAGACTAGGAAAATTATCATGGACAATGCGCCCATTCAACAGCTCCCCCAGGTCCGTGTTCACTTCTCGGCTCAAGGACTGAAGTCCTGGCGCTCCAGTACCTGCGGCGAACACCCCTATTCCTCTATCCGACAACTCCTGGCCGGGCACACCGTCTGACTGGGTGAGCACCCCAATGGTACTCAGGCACTCGAGAGAAGTTACAGCCTGCAAGGCCCGTTCAAGCTCCTCAGCCTCTTCGGTCGTTGGGAGGAGGTCTCCATTCTTTCCTAAGCAAACAAAAGTCATGGTGCATCAGCAGAGCTTTCACAGGTCCCACATTCCAAACACCATCCATCTGAATTATCCCTGACAGTGGCTATCCAAGAGAGGCCCTGCTGAGAAGAGAAATTTGCAAGGACTAGGCTAGAAGGAAAAATGAAATGTCAAGCTCCCCTGGGGCTGGTAGCGCGCCTTCAGTTTATTTATAAATAAACCCTCTTATCAGATTGTTAGGAAGGAGCTCTACTGTGGACTCTTCCTGCTGGAGGGGCAGCTGTGGAAGACCAGGACATAGAAATTCCCTGCGAGGTTTAGCACAGCACTGGGCACTCGACTCATTTCACAAGCTAACTTTTATAAGGCTTCTGCACTGCTTTCTACTACTTCCCTCTCATTCTTCATTCTTTTTCCATTTGTAAGTAATGTTTGTAATATGGAAGCTGATGGGCCTACCCTGATTTTATTATCAATATTTATAAAAAAAATCTATGGTTAGAAGCTTGATTAATTCACCACAAAAATATCCAGCTTTTAATAGTGAAAGAAACAGTCGAAGAGTGTAAAAGATTCCCCATGAAAACACCAGATAATTGGTGGGATTAAGCCAGTGGTTCTCAGCCTTCTGGCCCTTTAAATACAGTTCCTCATGTTGTGACCCAACCATAAAATTATTTTTGTTGCTACTTCATAACTGTAATGTTGCTACTGTTATGAATCGTAATGTAAATATCTGATATGCAGGATGGTCTTAGGCGACCCCTGTGAAAGGGTCGTTTGACCGTCAGGTTGAGAACCACTGGATTAAGCAAACTGCTTTGGAAAAGTATATTTCAACTAAAGTACAGGGTAGAGTATTAAAACCAGAACAAGTTCTAAATGCCTTCAATAAACTCAAGTTTGAAATGTCTTTGCTCAAAAGGAAACTCAAGCCTGGTCAGTGTGGCTCAGTGGTTGAGTGTCAACCTATGAACCAGGTCACAGTTCAATTCCTGGTCAGGGCACATGCCTGGGTTGCAGGGTCAATCCAATCAATTCCAAGTGGCATCCGATCAATGATTCTCTCTCATCATTGATGTTTCTATCTCTCTCTCCCCCTCCCTTCCACTCTCTGAAATTGATAAAAACATATTTAAAATAAATTAACTCAAGTATAATTACTCATTTTAAAGGAGTGAAGTTTTAACATGGCTATTGAACTATCCACCTACTAAGTCTATATGGGGTTGAACAAATTGCACAATCCTTACTTTCTGAAAAGGAGAAACTAGCTTATGCAGCTTCATATTCTCTATCTACAGTGGAAGACATTCTATGTGAGAATGAATATTTCAAACACATCTCAAAAAACTATTTCCCTTTTTACGAACTCATTTTAAAACTCACTTTAAAAAATATATTTTTTATTGATTTTAGAGAAGAAGGGAAAGGGGGAGAGAGATAGAAACATCAATGATGAGAGAGAATCATTGATCGGCTGCCTCCTGCACGCCCCCTACTGGGGATGTAGCCTGCAACCCAGGCATGTGCCCTTGACCGGAATCGAACCTGGGACCCTTCAGTGCACAGGCTGACTGACGCTCTATCCCCTGAGCCAAACCAGTTAGGGCTAAAACTCACTTTTCTTGACTAACAATATTGACAATACCTTCAAAAAAATCAAAATCCTGTAAGTCATCAGGCAGCCGTGGCAGGACGTCCGAGAAGTCCTCCTGGTTCAATTCCAAGTCGTGTGGAATGTCAGTGATCTCATTGGCAATGTCATCCGGCAACTCATCAGCACTCAGCTCTGGCGTGGACGGGCTCCTGGGGAAGAGGACATGGTTGCCCCACCACTCCCCTTGACCTTCACACCATGCCCCCCAGACAGGGTCCTCAAGCAAGAAATCGGGAAAACCTAACTCAAAATGCCTCCTTCCTACTTTAAATGAAGGAAATTTGAAAGCAAACAGACCTCACCACATATAGTCACATATTTCTACAACCTTTACTCATGTATTGAGACAACCATTTCAAAATAATATTTTATACTTCAAATTAGAATAAATTACAGTTTGGTATATCAAGTGTCTCAATACTTTTTATAGGATTTCAAATCTGGTCAACATAATAATATTTAAAAATGAAATAAACAGATAAAACTAAAATGCTTAGCTGAAACAGAAGCCTCATTCATCTGGTCAAATGCATACCCCTGCCAAAACTAATAATGCATCAAATTTCTGATGGACATATATGGAATTTCTGTAGAATAGAAAAGTCTGAGAGTAGACAATTAAATCCTCAATTTCAACATCTGCTCTCTTTGTTTTAAACAAAAGCTTTATTTCAGATATATCCCAATCAGATATTTGGTAAAAATTGTGCTGAAAACTAAAAAGTTTAGGCTGATGCACCAAATGGTGTATTGTAGCCTAGCTCCAGCACTAGAGAAGTGAATGAACCGAGGTGTCCTGAGAACAATCGGAACCCGTGAACTCGGGCGTCACTGACCGGATCTGAGAGGCCTCCACTGGCAGTGAGACGCTGGTGGGCATGCTGAGGTTCCCTTGGGGTACTGCAGGGGGAATGGGCTTTTGGGGTCGACGAGGTCCACGCCTTCGCTTCTTCTTGTGTTTTTTGGTAAGGGCAGGAGGCTTGGTTTTTTTCCTGGGTTTCCTCTGCTGCTGGTGCTGAACTTTCCGGGAGCTATCTCCTCTCAAGAAATTATCCTTTGAAATAAATAAAGGGGTATTTTTAAACTGAGATTATTTGGGGAAAATCTAACAGCTACCTAAAAAAAAATACCTATATCTTTTAATATTTTACATAATGCCTAAATACACTAAATACCTAAAATTATATATAATAAACAAATGAATTAAAAACCCCATTTTTTATATAATGCAAATCAATTCAACATATACATATCACTCTCCCACATTTAAAGACATTGTGATGGGTGCTGTAGCATAAAATATTTTAAAATTTAATTAGTAGTTTCAAAGGATTTACTCTGCCATGGCAAAAACATGAATACATATATAAATACAGTAGAGAAAATTGGGCAATAGTGACATCAACACCTCTGGGAAAACGAAAGAAAAATCAATTACTTTTAGTTTTGTGGGATTAAAAGACAAGTAAAATTTTTAAGTCCTTGGGGTTGAGGGGAAGACCTTTCTAGGCTAAAGAAAATAGCAGAAACCAGTCAAAAAGAACAGTAAATAATTGTGTTTGACTGGTACTTGGGGCATAATGGAGGATGAAGTACAGAAGTAAGCTATAAAGAAGTTTGATACCAGATCATGTATGACTTTGAATACCCTACTAAAGATTTTAAACTTATTTTATAGGCAAAGGGGAATGATTTTTGATGAGAGGAGTAGCACACATGTGCAAAGTTGGTCACAGCTTTTTGTATCGTCACTGTTTGAATTAACGTAAATGCATTGCTGGTTTTACATGTAGAGGAAAAACTATTGTGTATGCAGAAAAACAAAGAGCAGCAGGGTATAAAATTATTATTAGTGAAGCAAAAACATTCAGTATTGAAGAACTGACCACAATTCCTTTTTTTTTTGCAAAGCAAAATCCCAATGAGAAGGGAAAATAACAAAGGAGAGGAAGCTGGATTATAGTTGATGTAAGTAGAAAATACTACCTTTCACAGGTCAAATAATTCAGCTGAAAGCAAGAATGATATAGAATCTATGTCTAACAAGCCTATAAATGGTAAGAAATGCACTGTGTAGAACTTTTTCTTCCTTGGTGGTACATACAAAAAGTGGTTTTTACAACCAATGTCACCTTCGATTTGATGAGTTCAGCAATAACACAGCTAAATAAATAAACAAAGAATAGACAATAGTATCGAAAGAATAGTAACTGCGTTGGCCAGTGTGGCTCAGTTGGTTGAGCAGCGCCCCAAGCACCAAAAGATCACTGGCTCTGTTCTCAATCAGGGACCCCTGAAACTGTAGCGTGCCTACAGTAGGCAAGAACTGTTCCCTCAGCATTGTAGTACATATGCTTTAACAATACCTTGCACATAGCAGAAGAACTCATTAAGTGTCTGATGGGTGAAAACAATAAAAGTGCATGTATTTGAAATGATTGCGTAATCAGATAGGTCACTAATTCAGACTCATCTTTCCTCTAAACTATTCTCAATTAATTAAGACTTATAACATTAACATTAACAAAAATAATGATTGTTCAATACAAACACAGCAAGGTTTGGCTTTTGGCCAAAATTTTAACAAATAGCCAAAACATTCAGAGAACTGTATCTAAAACAACAAAAACCTAGAGAAATAGGGCAAAAAGGAGCATGGGAAATCTGCTAGGTCTAAGAAAATATAACTTAAGGAGAAGAGAAGTATAGAATAGGGATAGATAGTAAATAAAATACCCATACTTAAGAAACTGCTAAAACATTGTTGCTGTTTATAAAGGAGGGTATGAAATTAATTCAATGAGTCAAGACCAGTAATGTTTTTTTAGTAAAATAGAACAGCCTAGCAAGTATCAGGTACTAAAAGTATTGTTTCATAAAACTTATTTCAGTGATTCATATACATAGTTTGTACTAAGTCACAAAATACTTCCTTTTATGGAAAGCTATCAAAAGTTTGAAAGCCTCTGCTGCAGAAAATAAAATCTGGACTTACCATTTTTTTGGCATGTTCTTCACACAGAGGTGTCTGGTGTGTGATGTCAAAAACAGGCACAGAGCACTGCTGTCCATCTGCAAACTTGGCCGTGCAGCTTGAGAAGAGCTGCTGAGAGCGGTTCAAGAGGATGTCTGGGGTTTTTAAGTTAGGAATCAAACACACTGCAACTCTACTTAACGTTTCAATTTTTATGTGAAATTTTCTTCTTTCCTCACTTGTGCTTAGTAAGTATAAATTTTATTATTTATAAACGCTAAAGAACCAACCCAACTCCTGAGATGGGAAAACAATGATAGTTTTATCATTATTTATCAGGAGATACACCTGAAGGAGTCTATTTTGCAACGGGCACCTAAATACTCGTCTCCTTTATGGTCATTCTGATTTCTGTTATTGGGGAAGCAAGGTCATTTCCTTCTTAGCACGCTACCTCCCAGAAGTTCCATTATAATGGTTAAAAATAACAATACTTTCTTATAAGGAAAACTTCCTCATATATGATACTCACCACGAAGAATAAAAACATCTGAAACTAATACAAAATATTTAATATATACTGTTATTGAAAAAATAAAGAATACAACATAATTAGTTAGCTATAGATATAATTCTAAAAAAAAATCTCATCTACCCAAATTTGGATTTTTCACCTCATATTTCCAACACTAAACTCAAACTTACAACTTAAGAAAAATTCCTTTTAAATCAAAACTGTACTACTAAAATTGGAACATCAGCTCTACAGCACCAACGTGTGTTTTTTTAATTTTTAAAAAAATATATTTTATTGAGTTTTTTACAGAGAGGAAGGAAGAGGGATAGAGAGTTAGAAACATCGATGAGAGAGAAACATCGATCAGTTGCCTCCTGCACACACAACACAGGGGATGTGCCTGCAACCAAGGTACATGCCCTTGACTGGAATCAAACCTGGGACCTTTCAGTCTGCAGGCCGATGCTCTATCCACTGAACCAAACCAGTCAGGGCCAACATTTTTAAGCATCCATACTTTTAGCCTCTAACTACATTTCCCCGAAATTTAGTTTATATCTAATAAGAAAGTATCTTATTTCCCTTAGCTTTTATAGTTAAGACTCTTCATAAGCCTTTACTGCACAGAAACTGCTGCTAAAAAAGTTGTGAAAATACAACACCAAGAATAGAAAGGAGGGCAAAAGTCAGGTAGTACATTAAGTAACTGTTACCATATAAATTTTTTAAGTGCTACTCTTTTTAAATGTTTAATAAAAGTGAGAGCAATAAGATTTCATAACCAGCCTGAAGCCTACTATAAGTTTTCTTCAAGTATTTTCTGTCTGAAGGTATTTTCTTTCATAGTGATGTTTATATTTTATTCATTTCAAATCAGCGCTGTACTCAATACAAGTAGCAAATTAAAACCACAGCAAAAGGCACACTGTAAAACTGCATGTTTCTTAGAAGATTAAAAACAGTTTCTTAATAAATAATATGATTTGATTTTTCCATCAATCAACGCTACAGCTACTTGTTACAAATTATCTAGAACCATTGGAAGGATTGAAATTCTGTTAACAAAATTTAATCAAGTGACAGCCACTGGAAGAATCCGCCAGTTGCTGTCAATTTTGCTTATTGCAATGTGATTCTAGAATGAACAACTGCAATGATATAAGCACAAAAAATTACCCAGAGGACATCATGGAAATTAGAAGTTATATAAAAATTATTTTAAATATTAAATAGAGATGATTACAAAAGTCATTCACTTGGCTTAAGAAACACTCAGCCCTAGCCAGTTTGACTCAGTGGATAGAGCATCGGCCTGCGGACTGAAGGGTCCCAGGTTCCGTTCTGGTCAAGGGCACATGCCCGGGTTGCAGGCTCGATCCCCAGTAGGGGATGGGGAGGCGGGGCTGATCA